TAGTAGCTTGCTTTCTTTTGTGTTGGAGAATTCCTTGTAAAACACACACTAACTAATAATTGGGGATCGCTGACTCTTTGTCAAACTCACTATTGAGAAGAGCATCCATCTTTCATATTTATATTGTATGATTAAAATGATTTCTTGGTCCACAACAAGAAAATTGGTGTGCAAGTCTCCATCTTTCATGAATCGAATATTTTGAAAAACTCTCCAAAGGGACTTTGAATTCTCCGGTAGAGTTGTCCATATTTTTTGTTTAAAACGTAAAACATGCAAATTCTTCCCTGAAGTTTCCTCGTGCATGCTTTAGTTTCACAAGGCTGCTCTAAAAGTAACGATACATGGATGGAAGGAACCATCCCCAACATCTCCTCTCTTCTTTTCTTCATTCCCATTACTGTATTAATCTCTCTCTCTCTATACATGCTTATATTCCCTTGTTGGCTTTTCAAGGCACATTGATCACCTCTTAAAATGTGTAGAATCAACTAATCTTGGGTTGATTCTCCCTTTTGAATTTCGTGGAGTGTTTGTGTGTCACTTTATGATTAATTTATCCACATTACACAGTAGTGATACTATTAGCCTTACTACTTACACTAGCATGGCATCCTTTCTCTTTTCTGCGCGTTTATGTATGACCTCACCTTTTTTCCTCCATAAATATTCTCGTTCTGCTCCGGACCTTTTGAACCTCGCTAAACCAACTCATTCTTGATTTCTTCTAAACAATTGAGTCTCCTTTCCATGGAACTCCTACCAAACAACTCTCCTCCGATTGAATTCCCAACATCTCCTCAGCTCTTCCTGGGAGAAGAAATCATTCACTTCTCCCATCCTCAGCACCCCCTCTCTCAGGTTGACCTGCCTGACCTCTTCACCTGTGCTAGCTGCAAAGAGCATGGCGCCGGTAAACACTACACCTGCCCCCAATGTGACTTCCACCTACATGATTTCTGTGCCCTGTCTCCTCCAGCTTTGAAGAGTCATCCCCTCCACTTCCAACACAAACTTCTATTCCATTCCAAACCAGGTTAGTTCTTTTAGTTTTCTCTATCTACTACTCTAGCTACCTTTGATTCTTAACTAATATTATTGAATGCCTGAAATTTTTTGAAATAACTTTGGTCTTGTGGATTTAGTTAAAGGGGGAATCTTAACACCAAAGTGTGATGTTTGTGCCAAACCCACCAAAGGAAGCACATTTAGATGCACTGCTTGTGGTTTCCAGATGCATCCTTGTTGTGCTCTGTTGTCGACAGAAATTGACGTTCCAACCCATCCACACACACTTGAGATCTTACCTCAAGCGGTGCAGTACCCATCCAATGGAGAATATAGTTTTGTGTGTGGGGAGTGTAATAGGAAGAGATCAGGGAGAGTGTACCACTGCCCTGTCTGTGGCTACCATCTGCATGCTGTTTGTGCTAAGAACATGATTAATGGGCTCCAAGCGAATGGCATCAAGGGCGTAGGGAAGCCAAGCATGCTGGGGACTGCAGCCAAGGTTGCTTCACAAGTGGTGAAAGAGTTCTTTGGGGGGCTGATTGAGGGAATAGGGGAAGAATTTGGACAAGCCCTTGCACAAAACATGACTAGAGGAGGGCACCCTCCCAGAGCATGATTTCTTCGAGAATTCAAAGCTGTTGATGGCATTGCTGGACCAGTGTTACTTGAATTGAAAGTCGAATTTGTCTCCATTATGTATATTTGGGGAAATATGTATAAAATTGTACCCTACTTTTTATGTTTATTTTGGCCATGAAAAAGGAATAAGAACTGTGTTTATAAGTTATAATTACCTAAAATGTGTTTTAGAAGAGATTGCAAATTTTTACCAATAAGAGCTCGGCTAAATTGGTATTCACTAACTTAGAAACTTTAATTTGGAGTCTAATGTAATTTTTGGAAGAAATGCTTCATCACTCTGTCCTTTTCTCTCTTAGAAATACATCTCAATTTAACTTAAATTTATTCAAGTGGCAAGGGAAAGATGCAAAGGCCTTCACATTAGTTTATCTGATATCTAATTAAAAAGTTCATGACTTGATTGCAGTAATAATAGAATTGTCACAATCATACCAGAATTCTAATTTCTGCTTCAAGAAGCTGATGAGGACTATACTCCTGCTAGCTGAAAATATTAACGCCCTTGCTCTGGTTCAAAAAATACGCGTTCTTTCATGCTTTCACACCCAATTGAATTGCCCATATGAGGTTCTGAAGGTTCTCTAAGCAAAAAGTCAGTTGATTTGATTCGTTCCTCTGCCCATGCGTGCTTCTGATAGCTTCTAAGCCTCTGCAATTCCATTGCTACCTCCTTCATGCATGGCCTTTCATCACCACCAAGTTTCAAGCATCTCCTTGCTAACTCAGCTACTTCTCTGAGTTGGTCAGCTTTTATGTCACGAACAATCTGCATGTCCAAAATCTTGAAAAGGCAGTTCTTCTTCATTGATGCATCAAACAACATGGCCAAGTTCCTCTCTTCTTGGGGTCTTTCCAAGGAAACTGCCTTTTCCCCTGTCAACAACTCCACAAGTACTACTCCAAAACTATAAACATCACTTCTGTCAGTTAATTGACTTGTAAGAAAGTATTGTGGATCTAAGGATCCTAATGTTCCTTGAACCAAAGTAGTCAACTGGGTTTGATCCAAAGGCACCAACCTAGAAGCTCCAAAATCTGACACCTTAGCCCTCAGGTTGTTGTCCAAAAGAATATTTGTGCACTTGATGTCTCGATGGATAATAGGTGGAGAAGCTGCAGAATGCAAATAGGCCAATGCTTCTGCAGTTTCTGCTGTTATCCTTAGCCTATGTTCCCAAGTTAGTTTTATGTTATGTTATGGCCCTTCTCATGAATATGATAATAGAGGATGCCGTTTGTAATGAATTCATAAAAAGGCTGAGGGACCTCAGTTTCCAAGCAACATCTTAGTAGTTTTACCACATTGTTGTGGTTGATGTTGGATTTTTGGTGGTGAAAACGGGGGATTGAGAGAGGACTTGGAGGAGAAGGAGAGACACCCGGAGACATAGCCACAAACATAGAACAGAACCATAAACATGGAAGAGTGTAGGCATTCACCCAACCGGAGAGGAGAAACATGCTTTCTCTTCCTCACTCAATTTTCCCTCAATTTCTTCCTTTTTATAGAGGAAGGCTACACATAAAACAATAATATTTTTCTACCTAAACTATAATTATTAACTACCTAAAACATTGACTAAAATGATGAAATCTGCTGCCATTTCGTGTAGCCCATGTGAAGTTCCATGCTGTTGTCATTTACTGCTACTGTACAGTCATGTTGCAGCATCATTTCATTTCTTTTTCAGCTTTCATGCCATAGCTCCAACAAACTCCTCCTTGGCACTAAAGCTACAGAAACAAAATTTTACTTTAGCACATTGAATCTGCCATTTTCAGTTCTTTGTGCCTTGCTTTGGTTCGTTGTTTGTTGCCAAGTACCATCTTCTCAAATATTTCAGCTCCTCCTGCAAATCAGCTTCATCTTCGTTAGATTTTTGTTGTTTGAAAAAATTCTGGAGCCTTGAACATTTTCAGCAACTCCACCATTGCAGCAGCTTTGTCCGTGGATCTTTGCTGCTTTCAGTACATTCTGGAGTTGTGATTTTGTGCTTGATCTTGGCTGCTCCTCCATCAAACTTCTTTGCCATAAAGCAATGGGGTTTACAAGTACATAAACATGAAGACTTTTTTTTTTATGAAAAAACTCTTAACATTCAAAAATACAAACATAAAAGATGGTTAAAGAACAAAAGAATGAAACTGAGATGTGCTTAGCTTTCCTTTGCCATCATCTCCATCAAACATTCTTTGCCATGAAGCCGTGGGAGTTTAGAACATCAAAGCCACATCCATGAAGAGTTTTCTTGGGAAAACTCAAAACATATCCATAGCAAACATAAAAGATGCATGAAGAACATACCATAAAACTGAGTTTTTGTGCTCAGTTTCTCATTCCATCAACCATGACTTCTCATTTGGACTGATTTTTGAAACAAGCACGAACACCTTCTCTTTGAATCTAGCTTTCCTCTCCTTCACATCTCCCATGGTGGGACTAACATATGCCTCCATCTTCACAACCCTTTTTTGCTGCAAGATTTTGGCAAAGCAAGAGGGGTTTCATGTGAAGAACCATTTGAAAACAATGAGAAAGGTGCGGTTTTTTCTGGTGTTCCCTCAAAGAACAAACTCTCACAAGTCCCTCAAGAATTCAGCTCTGATACCATGTTGGATTTTTGGGGTAAGAAGAAAGGGTTGAGAGAGGACTTGGAGGAGAAGGAGAGACATCCGGAGACATAGCCACAAACATAGAACAACAGAACCATAAACATGGAAGGGTGTAGGCATTCACCCAACCGGAGAGGAGAAACATGCTTTCTCTTTCTCGCTCAATTTTCCCTCAATTTCTTCCTTCCTTTTTATAGAGGAAGGCTACACATAAAACAATAATATTTTTCTACCTCAAACATTGACTAAAATGATGAAGTCTGCTGCCATTTCTTGTAGCCCATGTGAAGTTCCATGATGTTGTCATTTGCTGCTACTGTACAATCATATTGCAGCATCATTTCATTTCTTTTTCAGCTCTCATGCCATGGCTCCAACAGTTGATCTCAGAAAGGATGATTACCTCATTAATAAACTGCTCCATTTGGCCTCCATCAGCTATTTTAGACCTTTTAATAGCCGCTACTCTTCTTGGCCTGTTTGGTATGACTTGTGTGAGTTTTTGTTTTTTTGAGTATTATCGTGAGTAATAAATTTAAATTTTTATTAGAGAGAAAATTTAAAAATTACTTTTAGAAATAGAAAAAAGTGAGTGAAAAATAAATTAAAAAAAATTTATAAAAAGTCTGAATTTAAAAGTTTTGAGTTTTTACTGTTTAAAATCCTTCTAAAGATAAAAAAAATATAAAAATATAAATTTTTAAGAAAAAAATTTAAACTTATCAAACATAAATAGTATTAAAAAGTTAAACCTCTTGTCAGCTTAGCCAAACATGCTCTGCTAGAACACCCTTCTAGACTGTACTATAACCACCACGACCAAGAACACAGCTCTCATCATAGTTATTGGTTGCCTTTCGAAGGTCTTCTGCTGTGAAAACCTTTGTAGTTTCCACTGATTGATCACGCATTGAAAGCTGCTGTTTTAACAGCAAACCACCATTTTGTATGAAAAATTCTTCTTTAAGATTGATGAGCTTTCTCTTTCATAAGCCCCAGCATGTCCAAGAACTACCTATCAGGAGCAACAGTAGTCCTACACCAATTCCTGCATGTTTACATTCAATCAAGAGCAGAACTCACCAGATAGAGCATACCAGGAGAGAAAGAATGTAGAAGAATTACCTAAATTAGACTCTAAAACAGGAAAACTTTTATGCAAAGGTATGCATCGAATTCCATCTTGTGCACCATCATCTGTTCTTTGATTTAATGAAGAGAGGAATTTATCAGCAAAACATTTTTTGCTTGATTGTACATGCATCCCTCAAATTTTATCTCTAATGTTCTTTTTCATGCCAATTCTAGTAGGCCTAGTAAGTAATCTAAATTAAGATAATTTGTAATGAATAATATCAAGATTAATACCTTGACAACCCTGGGGAAGATAAGGGTTTCCTTGATAGCCTTGATTGTAGTGGCATCTGTATCCTGGGCCATTGGGCGAGTCAGAGCAGAAGCTGTTTTCTCCACAAGAATAAGCTGTTGAATTTTTCTTGGCCTCTTCACAGGTTTCTAGACCAACCACCCAATCCAGCACAACCGGTGAAGAAGCAAAACCCTTGAAATTCAGACCAGTATTATTTGTGAAGTTCCAGAGATGAGATACAGTCAAGTCAAACCAATCTTGTTGAGCAAGAAATGCATAGCAACAAGGATTGAAATCCCATGCTTGTGTGGTTGTGGTGGGTTGCTAAGTCAATATGCAGTAACCCGAGACCATTTGGAATTGAAGTTTGGCAGCAGCCTATACCGGAACAAGATCCATCAACAATGTTGGACACATTCCTGCACAAGGAAATGCATCCACTCTGAAAAATCCTACTCTAGAAATCAGACATGAAGGCCTGCGTATCACAACCAATAGCTGTGAATTTGTTTCTGGTATCAGAGACGGAATATTAACTTTCAAGTGTTGTTGTCTGGATGAAGCGGTGAGAGCTTGCTCCCCTTTGATCATAGCAGTCAAAAGCGACCCACAAGCTAATTGTCAACTCACCTTGTAATGATACACTGAGAACCGGTATGTTACTTCTTACACCTAGAAAGAGCATCAGGGGAACGTAAGATTCATCGCACACCAGTTCATGAGATGGTTCTTTGAAACAGCTTCGATTTCCAATTCCAAATGGATAAGGAATGCTGAAGCATCTCTTCTTCCTCTTAGCATGTAATTCACAGCGAATACATACCTGTTGAATGTATCGTTTCAAAACAACATATTCTACTTCTTGTGAAGTTTGTTCAGCAGCATTGAACTAACAACTAAAGACATAACCGGCTGGCCAGCCAGCCAGTCAGAACAAGCTTTTAAATCCATTGCTGGGGTACATTACAAAACCATGTAAACACTAGACAAACGATATGGCCAATAACAACAATACACAAAATACGGCAGTCATCCCATGAAACACGTAAAGAAGCAAGACTTAAGCGGCAAGAAAATGACTCACAAATGCTCATCATCTTCAAGAGATTAGTAGGAGGTTGAGGGATCCCACCAGGCACCCTGTTAACTTAATTTCCCTGCTGAGCCCAAAAAGTTTGTCAACAGACTCAGCACGAGTCTTGGTCTTTACATTAACAACTAACAACATGTGATACACCTGTTACTTTAAAACATAATTTAATTACGGATATTTTGGATTCTTCAATAGTACAACACCGTAGGCTGACTGTAGTTCTGTAATTGACATCCTACAAATACAAGGTCAACTTTACAATGACTTGCTGCTAGCTTCCATTCCATGGATTATAAGGAATCAAAATTAAAATTACAAGCATCTAAAGACTCAACCAAATTAAATTTCTTACAACCCTATAATCGTTTGCAGTTTTCTCACCACTACTTAACCCCTAAACCTCTTTCATTTTCCACTTGCAATGGATGTTACATACTTCTATAAGATATTTGCCTCTCCACAGCTTTCAACTGTCCAACAATCTTTCACAAAATCCTCCAACAATGATATGATTCAAAATCTTACCAAAGCATTTCGAGTCAGCCAATAGCGCTATTATCGAACCCCACACTCCTCATTTAATGTTTGTATAGATGCTCAAAAATAGTTTTTTGCTTTACTGATATAACTGATATATCCAATATAACCGAACCAACTCAAATCTGGCTGACCATGCAGCACCCACTGCTCCCTTATTTGTTACTTCCACCAATCAATTTACCTGTTTACTAAATTGTGCCATAATGCAAATCTTTCCACTGAAAGGGAGTAACAGAGCCAACGTCTGGTGAACCTCGCAGGAACAGGCAGACACAAACACAGACAGCAGCAATAGCCAGCATTGAATGAACAAAAGGACGTTGAAGCAAGCCTTGAGAACGTGGTATCCTCTTGTTAAACTTTGTTGCTGCAATTGCACACTTTGTGCATGATCTATTTTGTTGTCCGGATTGCAAACCAATCCCTCGTCCTGTGTGCTCCGTCTCAATTGCAATTGTGATCTGACCATTTTTTTTGTCAGCAAGTTTGTGAGCCACCAATTTGTTGTAAGAGTGGTTATTCCTCATCAAGGCATATGCATGTGCCGATTGCCCTGTTGAATCCAGAAGTGAATGCCAGCACGATAATCCAATCTGCAGAAAAGAGGAAACACAAACCCAAAGTAAAAGAGGTTAGAAGCAAACCATACACGCATACATCAATATAACCACCCCAGTGACTGGACAGAAAAATCACCACATAATTTGGCTTATCATACTGATTATTAAAGGAGTTTAAAATGCCATTAAAGGAAAAAAATGGGAAGAGCTTAAAATTTTGATGGCAGACAATAATAGACTACAATTCTTAAAGACAGGTCTCCCAAAAAAGCTCATAATCAGCAGCTATTGCATGATATTTTTTTGGCTGACACCATAATGATATGATAAAGAGGGGAATGAAACTGTGACAATACCTCCTGTGGATCATTTGTCAATGCATCAATAATATCCTCTGAGCCCGATGTACATGCAGCCAAATGTAAAGGTGTGATTCCACCAGGTCCTTTAAGATTTGGTGGGAAGATATATATTCTCGATGTATCATCACTGCTACTCAGAAAATAATGGATAAGCAAGTCAGCCATCTTCCTGCACTTCCTTTTAACTGCCCGGCTTAAGAGCTGAGCCTCAGTAAGCATCTCAAGTGACTGACTAGATAGGCCACCCATATCCAAGTTGCTTTCCACTACGATGTCTAGCAAAGCCTTGACCACGGCACAATAGTCCCTTTCAACAGAGAATATCAGTAGAAATTTGAACCGGCTAAGGGAATAATCAGAACCCTCAGGCAAGTAACAAGTACTTCTCCTTTGAAACAGCCATCCAAGTTCATTCAGGAAGTGAAGAACTTCCTCCTGCGATCTGGGTCGGTCAGAATCAAGAGCATGATCTTCAGAAATGATATCACATACTTTAGCCTCCACATTAAACTCGGATTCAAGAAGTCTCAATTCTTTACAAATGCTATCATCAGCTATTATTAGAGGAAAACTGTTTCCCTTGAAACCATTCTCCACCTGCTCATCAAATGAGGAAAAATAAGTTCCCGACTGCTTGAATATTCTTCAACAACCTCACATGCTTCAAATTCAAAGCACACTTATTGAATTTTGCGGGCTTACCTCAATGAAACAACGACCAAGAACGTTTGATGATGAAGCTTGGATTTTAAAACCAACCATGTTTACCTCATCATATATGGCTCCCTGAAATGTTGACTCACCGACCTCCTTTGACAAGTATCCACCCATATATGCACAATGGATCCTGCAAAAGTTTCAAATTAAACATATTTGGTGAGTAATAACAGAAAAAGGTAAGCAGAGAAGAAACTCCTAATGAAACATGGTAAATTCTGCTTACTTGGTGCCAGGATTAGTCAAGTTTCTACCCCTTAATAGAAGGGAGGTTTCCTGCCCACCCACAATGGCCAAAGGAGTCACAGAGATTAACTCAGGAGAAGTCCATGTTCTCCATGATTTGCAAAGGCGAATTTTTCCTGAAAATCAATTTCACACAAATAAATATATAATGTGTCATCAAAATGCATTGCCACTAGTCCAGATACACAGAAAGTCAATCAACTTAAATTTAGGCATCTTTAAACACCAAGATCAGCACTTACCATCTTTGTGTGATGCTAATTGCTTGCCTGTGTGCACTAAAAACCTTGCTTTTCTCCAAAAATCCGACTCTGAGTTTTGCAGCAGCAAACTGACACGCTGATGCAGGTTTCCCTCAAACTGAAAAATTTGTAAACACCCTGCAAGTGGTCAGCTTATAGCCACATAACAAATTGGTAACACAAATTTAGTAGTTCACTCACTTGCTCCCATGCAGCATATGACATTGACACATAAATTGATAGAACCACGCAACCAGGCCTTATGTAGCTCTCCATTTCAGAAGGGCTGTTAGATAGCCAATTGTAGATCTAGAAAACAAAAGTACAGTGACAGTCATTGCCAGGTTGCCCTCCGTGAAAAACCATTATCCAGGTTTCCTTCTGATAAAAGAATAATAATAATAATAATGATAATAATAAAAGCAAATTTGGCTACAACTCCTCACCTGACTTCGCAGTGTCCCAGGGAAATGACTTGGGTCCTTGTCAAATAATTTTAAAATGATTCGTCCAGTGCGATCCTGCTTAAGAAGCATTTCAATCAACTCAAATGTTAACATTCAAGCACATACATAAGAAGAAAACAAAATGATTTGGAGTTCCAAAGATCAAGCATTACAGGTTCTGTCAGTAGGCTACCTGAGAATCAGAACTCAAACTAGAAGGCGAATGATCTGAGCCAGAAGAAGAAGTGTACCCAGCTTGACATGGAACACTCTGAAAGGAACCCTGGTCAGCCCCTCTTTTTGGCCCACTAAAGAGCTCAAGAGGAAGAATAGAACCATTAGTCCTGCTTCCCTCAGTCTGGTCCACTCCCCTTTTTGGTCCACCAAAGAGCTCAAGAGGTAAGATAGAACCGTGAGTCCTGCTTCTGTCAGCATTTGCATTAACATCTCTGCTGATCAGCATCTTCTCATATTTCCCAGTTTCTGCTCTGCTATGCACTGGAAAGAACTTTTGCACAACAGGAGAAGATGATGGTGACCTATCCTCCATGGGATTGCTGCTGTCAGAGGAGAAGTACTTCCTAGAAGATGGCAGATTTGGTGGACTGTCACCCTCTGGTGAGGAGCTAAATAGCTGCAACGGTAAATTAGTTTGGGCCTCTTGAATCTGGCAATCTGAATCTTCAACTGGAGAATGATAACTGGTACTACTTCTCTCTCCTCCAACTGAAGCAAACTCTAGCGGACATCTCTTTTGCAAGTTGGGAGAAGCTGCTTGGTCAGGGCAGGTTGACCTGGACTTCTCACTATCACTTCTCTGAGAGTTTCCGTGAGGAATTGCAACAGCATCAGAAGATGACGCACCTAAAGTGGCTGAAAGAGCTGCAAGCAAGTCCATCGTAGATGGAGAAGATGTGTTCTTGCCATTTAACTGGTTACCATTGCCTGGCCCAGGTTGCCCTATGTTCTTCCCATTTAAGCTTCCAATGTTGGGCAACTTTGCAGCAAGGTCCATTGGCAAAGGTAAGGAATTTAGCTTACCAAGAATCTGAATGAGCTGGTCTCTATCTGGGACAGATGAGCAATTGATGCTTTTGTCCCCATCTTTTCCTATGAATTTTAGCAAATAAATTTTATCTTCAGATTAAGAAGAGGATTCAAGAGAGTGTTCAGTTAAAACTTTTCTTACCTTGAGCACGAGCTAAGGCTGTCAGCAAGTTAACAATATCCAGATTTCCGTTCCCCTTATTATCCCTGTTCCCAGGGATTAAAAGCTGTGAAGTCACATCCTCTGGTTGTGTTTTCCTCCTTCTACGGTTGTGTCCAGCAAGTCTACGCCTACAACTTCTCTTCCCTTCATCAAACTCAGAAAGAGGGTGAAACCTGCAAAAAGCAAAGTTAATGAGGATTCAAATAAAGCAGCTCCAAGAAGAAAAGAAGTAGCTCGTTAACATTATAGAGTAGAAAAGGGATAAAAAAAAAAAAAGGGTTGATGTTTGAACGGACAATTAAGCTATATTTCATTTTATTATCCACTTCTCCCCAGCCCCCAGCACAGAAAATAGAAAGACACAAAGCATTCTAATTGATAGAACACCAGAAATAAATTGGAAAGACAAAAGAGGAAAAAAAAAAAATTAAGACAATAAATGAGAGGAGGAAACGATAACCTGCTGCACTGCTGGCAGAACCTTTGCATCTGCTTGGCGACAAGAGCCTTAGTGGCTTTGCTGTGAACCTCACAAACTTTATGCCTCCGGTGATAGTCCTTGGCGTTGGAGAGATCCTCCCTGCAATTATCAACCTGACACATAGGATAGTTAGCACCGCCGGGAGATCCAGACCGGACTCTTTTGTTAGGCCTGGAAACAGGCTCCTCCACAGAATTCAAACCCCCACCCAGATTTAACTCCAGCCTTTCTTCATCATCGTTTACAACAGTGGCTTTCTTAGACGCCATAGGATTCCCATTCCTGTTGGGCTCCTCTTTCTTTCTCTGTTCTGCAACTGAGGTTCCAGACCGAAGAATCTCTGTATCCAGGGGTTTAGCAACGAATCTCATGCTGTCCCAATTCCAGAGGTTCGGATTCCAGTCATCCTGAATTCCAGAAACAAGCCGTTGTTGGGAAGGGTGCTGGTACAAAGTTGGGGTCTGAGTCTGAACCTGAAACTGATGAGAAAGATCCCTCTTCCTGGCCACCGGCGGCGGCTCACAGAATCTGGTCGTAATCGATGGGTGAATGAAAATTGGAGAAGCAACTTGCGCACCCACGTCCTCCATCCCTCCAAGAACAAGTTCAACTAAAATCCACACACCCAACAACCTAAAGCAAACGCCTTTACAAGTCAAGGAAATGGATTTCAAAGATTCAAAGCAACCCAAATAAATCAAATTTATCTATCTACTAGATTTTTAAACCGTTTTAGAATCAAACTTCAATCACATGAGTAAAAGTTTGTTTTTTTTTTTCTTTTTAATCCAGCTAAATTAAACAAAAATTACCTCTACGAAATCTGGGGTAGAAACGGCATCATCTACCTGGTTGAAACTAAGAATCCAAAATCAGAACCAGAGACAGCCTTGGTACAGAAACAGACCTCAAGTCAATCCCAGATCTGAATTATTCTGACCGGAATCGAGAAACGACCGGAAAGAATCCAAAAGATAAAAACAAGTTTTGAAGGAAGAAAGGAAGAAGCAATCAGATTATTAGAGTTGAAGGTAACAAGAGTAGATCGGAGAAACTATAAACAAGTCTGGGTTACTTTTTCTTCTCCACCTCCCTGAAGAAAAGAAGAACAAAAAAAAAAAAAAAAAAAACTCCGACTTTTAGGTTCTAACAAACATATTTCCCTTTGGGTGCTGGCAGAAAGCGTAAATTGAAGCAAATTGAAG